CAGCAGGTAACACTCGCTTAGCTGCCTTCAAACAGCAGCTGATAACAAGAACTGCAGTAGTGAGTACACTCCCATGCTACTTGGGCAAGGCCAGTCCGCAGGTCCAAGGCCAGCAGCTGGGTTCAGCCAAGCATCTGGATCACCAGAAACATCCACAGCAATGGAGCAGGTCCAAGGTTCACCTGGGAAGGCAGTCCGGAGGTGGGGGCTCAGACCAACTGAAGGCGCAAGAATCTCAGCTTAAAAGCAGCTCCCACGGGAGGAGCTGCAGGCCCTGGCTGGGCCTGCACCTGGCTGACCGAACAGCTCTTACCCGCCAGCTGACTCGGAATGGATGCCGACAGCCAAACTTCTAGAAGCCGGGGACGGCCCTCAGGGCTCTGACATACACACCTGCATTCTTCAGTGCAACCACCCCTCTAGCATGGACAGGATGGTTTTTAAGTCACACAGCCATTTTGGCGGCCATCAGCTCTCTAGACATCTTGTCTGTCACAAATCCATTCAAATTAAAGTATTTATTTCTGCTTCTTTCTAGTTCTTGACTTTGCACCAAAACCTGATAAAACCATGTATGAATTACGTTTGTAAAATAATAGAAAAATGGAAATTTTTTTTTTTTTTTTTTTTTTTTTTTTACTGCTAACACCAGAGATCCTGCAAACAACTCTCTATAGCGAACTGGATTCCAAATTCTTTCACATGTCTTCCAGGCTTTCATGGATAGTCACCTGATACAAATTAGCCACGATAACGATACTGTACTAATCAGTACTCAGCAGAAGATCTCTTTCACTAGTTAGCGATAGCATGTTGAATACCTTGTTGACTGTGTCAGCTTTGCTCAAAGTCTTTTGAGTCAAAAGGCTTGCTGCTTTCTGCAGACTTGGCTGAATTATTCAAGTGCTTCCATTTTATCAGAGAACACAGCACAAAGAAGTAGGATTTAGGAAATGTGGAGGGAAACGAGGGAGAAATGTTTCATAGTGGTGAATTACTTCAGCTCAAAAATACATAGTACACAGAAACTTTGGAAATGGACATCCAGAGAAAACAAAAACTGAGAAATAGCAAAGCTCCACATCCCCACTAGATTCCAATCACTGCTCTTCAGCACTTTTCAAAGCACAGAAATGAGAGATGCTGCACTTTGACTAAGCAGTCTCACTGCCTGGGATAGGAACAACAGACATGGCTCCATGCTGCCACCGTGGTTTCTCCAAGTCCCTTGATCAGATGATTACAGCCAGTAAAAGTATGAACCAATTTTCTCCCTTTCTTGCTTGTTTTGATATTTTACACACCAGAGAAAGTCACTGGAATCCACAGCACTTTGTTTTCCCTTACCCTCTTGGTTTAGAGTATCTGTTTACATCACCATACTTAGGCAGGAACCAGATGTTCCTTCAGACACTAATCAACTTTGATCACAGCTGAAGCTGGTTAGAGATACAATTATAATTTATGCACACACCCCTCTTCCATGAAGATATGACAAAATTTCAGGCAGGACTGGAGTGGGGAAAGACTATATTTGAGATTACTTAATCTAAGTCTTTTTAATTAAAAAAAAAAAAATTACATCCCATGAAAGTACAACTGCAGAATGCTGAATAAGGTGAACAATGGGTCATCTAATAGGATCTTGAATTTAATGCTGTTAAACAGGCCATATTTATCTTGTAATTCTACATGTGTAAGTAAGTGTACAGACAGAATCAGTACTGGCTCAGCTATAGTGCACATTCGAACCTGTCAAATCTCTGAATTAAACTGTAGCTTATACAACTCAGGGCTTTTGGCTTTAGCTTACTTAGAAAAGGCTGACAAGTCTGAGGGCAGATGAGGTTTCTGAACCAATTTAACACTATGCACAATCAAGAAAGTTCCTGTTTTGTAGTATCTCTGGGCAGAGCGTTACAGTTACATTTAAGGGAAGTCAATAACCAAGCATAAACACACAAACACTGAAATTACAATAATGCTAAAGCAACAGCAGGAACACACATTTTCCTTTAGAAAACTTGACTAAACTAAGAACAAACTTGAGAGCTGCTTTAGCTGTGGTTTTTTACTTGGTTCTATTAAAAAACCAAAACAAATTTCTGTGCTCTCATTTTAAGTCTTTGTTCACCAAAGAAAACACGCAAGAGTAATACTAAACCTAACAGCAGTCAGAAGAATGGGTAAACTTTACACATTGCTACAAAATACTATAAGAAAATAAGCGTTCTTTGCAAGATCGGTATTAAAGTTTTGGAGGTACCATGATACCTAAATTTGTTTTGTTATATGGTCCTCTGTCTTCTTCATCAACATGAACTTTTAAAAATAAAAATACCTGTAATAAAAAATTCCTTTTTCTGAGCAATCTGAAATCCTGCTGACTGGTTTGGGTGTTATTTCCCCAAGGTGCAATAAAAAAAGCAAAGCAGCATTTCATAGGTTATGCCACTTCAGACCCACGGTATACATCTTTACTGACTGCCAGAAAAATGATGCAATATGCAAATACTAAAAAGCAGCTGGAAATTCACTGAACTCTACAGAGGAACCACCAGTCACAGAGGTCTCAATGGTTTAGCCCCCAGAGAAGGCTTTTCCTCACATGCATTTTCCTCTTTCAGACTCCAGCCCCTTCCCTTCTCTCAAATACGGAAAGGAGAAAGCTTGAACAGCATGTTTTCCTCAAGTTCTGGGGCATACCAGCTGCAGACATGGAAAACTGCAACGAGAACCACTCTCACATCCACCTCTGAGATAACTACTTGGTTAAGTAGCAGAACCACCACCCTTCACAGAAAACACTTCTCAATATGGATTGCTTTTCAGAAGGAAGAACAGCTACAGTTGCTGCTTATCAATAATCAAGGGCCATTATCTACCAAAAACTGACTCCTAAATGTGTTTTCACACATAGCAGATGTAGCAGAGTGCAGTTACTATGAGATTAATAGTTCACTCCTGCCAAGTGATCCAATTCATCCAGTCCAGCGGTTTCCAAACTGTGACTGTGCACCCCATCGGTAAAAAATTTTTGAGTATGGACTGCCAATATATATATTTATAAACTACATACATGTACTACTGAATTAATATATTGTGTACGTTACAGAACATACACAAAAATAGAAATTAAAAAGGAAAAATAAATAAAATAACCTTTGGAAATAACGTTTGTTTTATTAATGGCACAAAAAATATTTTCTTCCCATACTCCAATGAATTGTCTTGCACACAACTCACTTTGGAAACCACTGATCTAGGCAAAGGTGGTACCATCTCATCAGACTAGCTGACACAGTTGCAAGAAAGGACACCTCCCCCTCTTCCCATATTCCATGCTATTTATCTAATATGCTTAGACCTGTTCAATATCCCTGCTCATACATGAAGTAAAGGAACTACAGTTTTAAACGAACAAACCAGAGCTTGCTTCATAATCTTAAATTGTTGGGTTTGGGTACAAACTCAGAAAACTACCAACTTTCCCCCAAATTCTCCTGAAACAGAGATCATGAGCTTCACTCACAATGAAAAGAGAGCTGGTAAGCAAATAAACCTGAAGCTACTAAGAGGCCTCTTAATGTCTCAGATGAAAAGTTAACCCATCCTAGGAGAACCTACTTTTCCTAACTACTTTATTATTATTATTTCTATTCTTTTAACTGTTGGCAAGTAACAGAAACCTCAGATACAGCTCCAGGCAGACTCCTTCAACACTTCTCCCAAGAGGAAACTTTACTTGCTGCCTTAAAATGATATTGTAACTTATGCTAATACTTTGCAACTACCATCTATAAATGCAAGATATGTTAATTTCCAGGTGACTATCAGGGAAATATATTAAAAGCATATTATACTGCCAAATACTTGGAAAAGGTTTTCATTTGGAGTATTTCAAAGTAGGCTTCAAGGGAGGAAAACAATGTACAATAAGGGAACAATCTTACTGCAGAGGCAAGGTGAGGCAACCCCTGGATGACCGATCTTATTGGACCCTTTGTCATCTAGCCAACAAAGAAACTGTAGTATATGAGAACAAATTTGCACAACAGAAAATCTACATGAGCTTCACAACTGTGGTATCTCAACAGCATCAAACACTAGCAGGATTGTTTCTCTTGGTCCAAGAGTCATGGTGACACTCTCTTTAATTAAGAGGATACAAATCAGTTTCACAATGCTTCCTATCTTTATCAAAGTGTTTGACCTCCAAAAATAAAAGGATTTAGCTAAAGTTAAATCAGAAACCTAGTTTTTCAAAAAAAAAGGAGTGGTTCAGCTAAATTGATCTGGGACAGAAGAGAGATGGTAAGACAAACATTACTTCTTGATACCATCAAGAAGCCAATACACATAGCTTTGCAAAAACATGTCACAGAACAGAGACTGTCATTTCAGTGAACGCTTTTTCCACACGGGCTAAACCAAAGGAAACAGCAGTGATTCCATATCAGCACAGTAGCCAGGCTGATTGATCTAAATCAGATTGAATCAACCTGGCATTACAGTTCAGTCGCAGGCTGCAGCCAGTGTCCCCAGAGCCTCTCAACTGCCTCATTTGCTCAAACTGGAATTCCTCACTTTTATAAAATACACCATGAAACAAGAGGGGGAGAAAACCCAAACAATCCATCTACATAAACGCAAGGTTTTGTTGCAGGAACTGGGTAACAGCTGCTAAGGAGAACTACTCTGGCTGCTGCTCTTCCCATCACTCCTTGTTTGACTGCGGTACGCCATCCAACCAACCTAATGTGTTTCAAAAGTAGCTCTCATTTCATTGATCAAATACATATAAAATAAGCCACCTGCCACGTGAGAAACTGACTAATGCTTGCATCTTTTAAGCTCTTTGCTTCTCCACTGAAGAAGCTTTTGAACACAGTAGCAATAGTGTTTGCTGAAAGAAACTTGCTTTTAAAAACAAGATTCAAAAGGCTTAAGAAAACATACATGGAGACGATAAAGACCAAAGGTAAATCTGAGTAACTTACTGCTGCTGCTGTGGCCTCCTCTCCACCTACATAGATAGAAGAAGCAATTTCCATCACGGATAAGTTTGTGGGAGCATCTGTAGTAGATGACGATCTGGGACGGCCTGGCTGAATATCCTGGGCAGACCTCCTGTTGATCTGCGGGCTTCCTTTCGGGGCATCTGCCTTGCCCCGCCTGCTGTGCAGGCTCGTCCCTCTCTTCATTTTGGGTGGCACTCTGATCTGCTGAAGCACCCGGTTCAGAGCTGTGGGGTGGGTGGAGACACCATCAATTTCAGCACAGACGCTTTGGCTTTCCAAATCCATGTCAGGCTCCAGATCAGCCTGAGCTTGCTGAACATCGTGTGGAGAAACGGACGACCTCCTGCGCTGATGCTGGAAAAGGTGCTTCAAGCCTTGACCAATCACATTAATGTTCTCCAAAGCATTATGGGTTATTTTGGATAATTTTTGCTCTGATTCATGTTGTTTTTTGGTCTCTTGATCTTGGGATTTGCCTCCAGGATCAGGGTCATCACACAACTGTTCAGTGCCAGAGGGCTCCATTGATGACACCCAACAGGTTTATTTGACTATTCATACATGAATACGTCCCCTGTCTTTAAAAGGCTCGTGTTTGTTTTAAAAATGCCAAGATTGTCAGCCAATTAGGTGTGCAATTGCTTCAAGAGTGACTACACATGCAGCTGTGCCACGGTGATCTCATGCTTATCTAATGTTAAACAAAAGAGTCATTATTATACATCCATGCAGAAAGTAGTGGGTTAAAAAATCCAATGCACAAAACATGCCATTAACAAAATAAAATGTATCAGTTTTCCAAGCATCCCTCCAGGTGGTATTAGTGGCATCTAGGCTGTATGCAGAAGCCAAAGCTTGTACGAAACAAGTCATTCATCACCTAGGGGAAGAAGCCCAGCACAAAGGGTACAGGAAAGCAAGAAAGGTAAAAAAGCTGTTCAAAAGGGGGAGAAGCAAGGGGAAACCAGTGGGTTTTTGTTTGTTAAGAACAAGCCCATAATAATATCTAACAGAACATAAGGTTAAACTTCTGAAGACCATGCTAGTCTCTTTGGCAGAATTAATTTTGTTCTTTGAAAAAGATCTGATATTTTGTGCTTCAAATGTAACGTCTGCTCTGCCTACCTGATTTTCCTGTAGAATGCCTAACTTCACAGTATTTAATATATGCAAGAAAACAGAACATTTCCAAATCAGTTATGCATTTCCAAATAGTAAAAAATGGCCTATTACTGCCAACATCCACTGATGACACTGGAAACTAGACGTGAAAATCTGTCTTCAAGCAAGAACAGGCAAGTGAAATGGTTTCAATTGGCAGTCTTGTCCATAGTTAGAGAAAACAAAAATGCCTTTTTAAAAGTAGATTAAGTAACCAATCTGAAAGGGAGCAGCACCATATATGTGTAGCTCAGTCTCTAGCAGAGAGAAACACAGCTTTTCTACAAGAGAGCTCAACCTTACCTATCAGCTGGGCTCAGGCAGGAGTTGTAAATTATATGACATTGCAGCTGAGCACTTATATAGCAACATACCACTGGAGAAGTACAGCAAAGGAATGAGGAAGGAAGGAAGGAAGGAAGGAAGGAAGGCCACAATATCTGAAAGTTTCACATCAGCACCATGAGATCACATGCTCGGAAGCTGACCATTGTTTTCTTTCAGGAGAAAGCTTTGATTAGGCTTCTATAAATACAGAAACCAGATCACAGAGGTCTACTTCAATCTTGGCAGAAAGCAGCCAGTGCTTTAAAACAAAAAATTATTTGAAATGCAACATATGTTTGGGATTTGAAAGCATTCATTTTTAGCTTAAAACAGCTGCAGAAACATAATGCATTGAGGTTACAGTTAGAGCGCTCTCAACTTTGTGCATCTAAAACCTGACACAATGGGTTAAACAGATATTTCAAAATGCTTTCCAAATTGGCATCCAAAAATATCAGAAGAGCTGCCTCACACTCTCTTTTTTTCAAATGTCATTGCTATCAGCTGGAGGCAAGATGAAATTCAGTACTTACAGAAAGCAAAACACTGGAATCATACAGGATTTTATCTCAGTACTTTGAACATGTTATAAGCATTGAATCTAAATGTATCGGCCAGTTTAATCAATAACACATTAAATGCAAAGTAATAAATTACATCCCAGAGAAATATATTTACCCATATTCATGCAGAAATTGTGTGGCAGAATAAAAAAAAAATAATGTGCAACCAACCTTTTATTTTTACATACCTAACACTTTCTTAAATGCCTTCAAGTGCCTCTGACTAGAATTATGCTTTGACTTTTGAGCTCACTCTTTCTGAATATTTTTTTTCCTCATGTAACAGATTTTTCAGAAAGTTGAATTGCAGGTCTCCATTCAATATAAGTTTTGGGGAAAAAAAGGCAAAACTAGATTTTCCTTCTCATCCAACAGACCAAATGGTTCAGTGAACAAACCTCACTGGATAAAAAGCACGAGTCCCCAAATTATTTGGTGTATAAAATAAACACCTGACAGTTGACCCACAACTGCCTTTTTCATTTTAGCTAACTCCCTCAGTATTCATTTTTCAGTCAGGACTCACTGAAGAACTGTAGTTCGTATCAAAGATGCCCAATATGCTCTCTAACCAGTATCTTTTTGACCTCCTGCATGCTTCTATCCAGATTACCACTGGTAAAATGGTGCTCTTTAAGATCAGCACTATCACTCTAAGTAGACTTTCATGCATTATCTGCTGGACACCATTAACCCACTTAAATTAGTCCTATGTCAATTTACAAACCAGCCTGAAACAAATCAGCCTCCAGTAAGCTCACAGACAAGACACTACTACCCCTGTGTATTCTGCAACTGATTTCTGAAACTACACTGACACTTATGTTTAAGAGGCTCCTATAGGGAGCTTTGTGGTCATCCGCCTATTCATATTTCCATATGATAAGTCTGTTGTGAGCTTAAAAAGACCTTTTAAAATTGCTATCTAGTATGAAGATCCTTAAAACTACTTATTTGTCCTAGAATCTACTCTTGGGAAAAAAACCTACTCATAAATGTGACGACCTGTGAATCAGCAGAATTAATTAGCACATTTATTTGCATTAAGATTCAAGTTTTGTGCTTATTTTTTTTCCCCACTTACAACCTTTATATTCTATTTGAGGAAGGAAATGGAGTACTTTATAGCATGAAGTTCAAAACCATACATTTCTTACTTGTACAAGAATACAATACATCAGGGACAAAATTCACAATTCCATATACACTCACACTGAGCAAATGTTATAACATTATTACATCCCAGAACATGCTAATATAGTCCTTCATTTGTGCAATTATTTCACAGCAGCACTGGGAAACAAAACAGTTCAAAAGGATAAACTGGCAAAAAACAATATTAGATAACTGTGAATATATAAACTAGTACTTGCCTCCATCACTTGCCCTTTAGCATGGCTGACATACAGCAGTCCCTCCACTGAACAAAACTGCAAAAGAAATTGGGTATGAGATGCAATTCTTGGAAATGGGAGGAAAGATGTACACAAACAACAAAGCGAGCATGATTCCAACTTCTAATTTCTTTTTTTTTTTTTTTTTTTCCCCCAATTTAAATGCAAGTGCCTCTGGAAGCTACTCTTTCAAATAACTGAAGAGATACAAATGTAATTGAAGTTAAAACTGAATCTTACTGAGTTAATTGAGATGTTCTTGTAAAGGAACGTTTTCTCTTGGGGTTTATGGCCACCAGTATGCACTGAAAGCACAGGCAGATTTCAGGACTCTGGCCTGCAAGGTCAGACTGGTCCACACAGGTTTTATTTTCTCCTCCTATTCAGTCAGTCAGATGTTCTAGGCACAGGTCAAACAGCTTGCTCTTGTTTATCTGGAATTCCCCTAACAGGACATGAGAAATGTGAGCACTTTGACACACGAGCACCTTCCAGTTCATTTCACAGGGAAACCCCTGCCACCTTGGCTGCCCTGCCAGCACGCCTAACCCCAACCCCTGCCCCCAGGCCAACCAAACCAGCCCCTGGCCACTACAGCAACAATCCCGCCGCAGCACTCTGCAACAACAGACCACCTACACCCTCAACACACCTGGGCAGATGTGGCAACGGAGCCAGTGCAACCAGCGTGAAGGATTCAAAGGTTTGACCAGTCCAACCTAAGCAAAGCACACCACACCACACCCAAGGACGCCATCCTGGCTTTGCCCTCAGAGAACAGGGTATTTCAAGGGCATTTTGATGATCTGTTTAACGTTTCTGTGACAGGCCCAAGGTAAGGCCAGATGCTTGCTAGAAGAACACAACAGAGGATGACAAAAGGACAGCTCAGAACAGATAAAATGACCACATTTCTCTAGCCAGACTCACATATTGTTCTGAAACACAGCTAAATGACCCACATTGTCCAAAGGTGATTAGTTACTCAACTATTTTTTGAAAACAGGGACACAGGCTTCAGAACACATTAGCACTCAGAATAATACTGCAAGACTCCGCACAACTGGGGCATTTTGACTATTTTATTACACATCAGATTCCCACCTCCAAGACAACAGAAGACATAAGGAAAATGTTAATCAGAACCACTGCAGTGGGATGCAAGAATATGAAGAAAGTGATGACAGCAAATATGAAGAACTTAGAAAAAATGAATGAATGCGTTTTTGAAAAAGATCGTGACATGGAAGAAATTACGTTCCTACAATAGTATGAGTGGAGAATCAGGCACAGTGTGCAAAGTGTTGTTAACATATGAGGTGCTGCTATAATAATTTCATAGCCATTCTATTTTTTTTTTTTTTTTTAGTTTTAATGTTATTTTTTATTTATTATTTGTAAGAACTGTAAGAGCTTCTGCCAGTGAGGTCTTCACAAATATGCCCTACAGCACTATAGTACCATGTAGGTCAAGAGATGCTTTTGACTAATTCCCAGACTTTATGCTGCAGAGTCCACTTTCAAGAGAGTCCACAGATGGGCTTTGAGGTGTAGGGTCATGAAAACTACTTGTATTTTCTCCCTTGTGAATCACAGCCTTCACTGGCATACAAACCAGATCTCCCATTTTCTGCCAGAAGCTCCATTTTTTTTCCCCGAACTTTGAAAAGCTATTGCACTGGGCTAATCAGAATTCCTTCACTTTCTGTCCTTAAGAAGAGTAGACACAACCTTAGGCTTTTGGGCTTTTTTGGTTTGTTTTTTGTTGTTTTTTTATCGTTGTTTTGTTTTGCTTGGGGGGAGGGGTGTGGGTGTTTTGTTGGGGCTTTGGGTTTTTTTTGGTTGTTTTCCAATACATTATGGATCTATTGCAGAGCTATTTACTTAGCACAAATGCTACACATAGATATTAGAGGGGCAGAAATAAACTAGGTATTGCTGGTGCTGTTTTGCTCCAGACAGCTAGACTGTCTACAGGGAAGAAAAAGTTTCTTCCCACTCTTTCACTTTCTTCATAACATGAAAATTTCCAAAATTGGTCAAGTATCTAAGATGAAGATCAGAATTCAGAAGAGTTTGGCCATTTAAATTTTGGTTAAACTTCAATCAGGTAAAAGTTTACTCTAAATGCATCAGTTTAATGAGTTCCCTTGGAAACCACAGTTATTTGTAAATAAAATTAACTCTGAAGTTACCATTTAGATCCAGCTTAGACTGCAGCTGAAGTACTTGATACAAACAGTACAGAACTGTAGAAATAGGGAAGAAAAATTATTTTCAATAAAACAGAAAAGACTGCCTTTTTGTAGACTATTTCAAATACCTATTATTTATGCTGTATTTGAACATCTTGAATCCTTAGCATTAATATTAAAGTGCAATTACCTGAGGAATCCTCACATTTGTTTTATTCTGTGAACAGGTCAGTTTAATAGCTCGTCATGAAGTTGTAGTCCTCAGTTAGCAGGTATCTTAGATATGAGATGCTTCCCATTCCTCCTATTTGGCAAGAACATTTTTCAGTTGCTTCAGGATAAGTATGATTTTTATTAAGAAATGGCCCATCTTAGTTTGAGAAATCCCAGATTATTTTCAGAAACTCATCCCAAAATGGATTCTGCATCAAGGCAAACAGTGTAGCCAGAGAGACTAAAGGAGCAATAGTCACACACTGGAAAACCACATACGGGAACTAAGCAACCTAGCAAATGATTTATATCCACAGGAGGATTGAGGTATTTTAAAAGCATTGTTGTTCAGCAGCAACAAGCAGCAGAGCAAATAAAGAGAGAAAGCTGTAGGCATTCACGGCTAATCCTGTCAGAAAGAGGAACTCATAAGAAACTGGAATGGGTGTAAAATTCAAGGAGGCTGTGGTCTGGAAAACAAAGAGGAAGACAGCAGTAAGAGTAAATAATTTGACCCAAACAAACAATTGGATAGTAGCATGACTACCCAATACCTGGAGAAACAAGTACATTTAACTATTAGAACAATTTTTAAGAAGTCAGAGAGGGAAACTGGGGCAAGAATAGTAGAAAAAGACATTCAAGAAATAATTAAATGCAAAGAACATTGGTAAAATCACAGAATACAAGGGAAAAGAGACCAGAAAACAATACTATTTTTAATGGAAAAGACATATGTAGTTTTCAAGACATAATTCTTCTTGGGTGAATTTTAGGAGAGGGAAGAAAAGATTTTCTCAAATTCTAGTGAAGTCCAAAAGATATGTATTGAAAGAGAGAGAGAGAGAGAGAGAAAGAGATAGATCGATCGATCCCCCACCTGGCCACAACCCTGACACAATACTCTGCTGAAGAATAGAAATGGACTGTAACTGAAAGAACAAACTGAAAGACAACACCAGAAAGACTCAGCATATTAAATATTGCGACTGGGAGATGAGGGGAAAAAAAAAACAGCTTCAATATGTGTAAAGCAAGCCAAACTTCTGCTGAGGTTCTGCATCTAAGATTTTCGAAAAGGGGAATATCCCAAAGCCAGCTACTTTTGATGAAACAGTAGGGAGTGGCACGTGGCATGCCCCAAGGAATTCACTGAATTAATCCATAGTGCTTCGGGTAAGGAGTTCACACCATTCAGTACAGCAAGAAAGGCCCCATGGGATGGAGAGAAACTGCTACTTTAATGCGAATGAGGGGTACAGGGCAGAGCAAGAGACCCACAGCCTATTTTGTAAGCCAACTGTACAGTGTTACAGGGCAAAAATGACATCGTAGGATAACAACAGATTTTGCTGATTTCTGCCTAATGATTTCCCTAAGCCCTCCAACCTATTCCCAACACTATCCAGAAGTCAAGAACAAAGTCAGCTGAACGAGGCCATCTCTGCTATCCTTGCTCTCTCCTCATACCACACAGGTTCAGCAGGAACACAGTTTGGTGACTAAAGTACAGGCTGAGAGACTGGACACCCTGGGCCCAGTCAGCCCTGTTAAAAGATCCTGAGCAAGTCATCCTCCATGCCTAATGTTTTCCTATAAGCAAAATTCGAACAACCCAGCTAGCTGAAGGAGGAAAGAAACACTGATTGTAATACCACTGATGGTAAAGTACCAGTGAGGTACTTTAATAAAAAGCTTTACAATGGAGCAAAACACTTAGATTCCTTTGAAGGCAATGTGTACAGATATCAGTTAAAAATAATGCAAGTTTAGAATGCCAAGCTGCTGTATTTTATAAAGGTAGCCAACTGTATTCTTTTGGTAAAATGATTATTTAAGTCAACTGATACAAGTATGATAACTCTTCATTTAGTAGTCCCACAACTTACACAAACCACTGGTCACATGTTTGAATACGAAAGAACACAAAAACTTGCTCCTGCACACTGCTAATAAAATAAGAGGGGCTGGCAAAGTGTTTATATACGATTATCACCAAGGAGCAACTCAGTAAGAAGTTTAAGATATTCAGAGACAAAAAAGGCACTATGAATCCATACAAAACATGAGACATACAACCTGTCTCCTAGAATCCTCACAAACCTAAAATAGATCTACACAGTTCATCCACTCATTTGTTAGGGGTGAGTATGGTGCAAGGAAAAGGGGGGTGGGAGCAGATCCTTGCAGTCACTCAAAGGTCATTAAGAATTGTCCTCTGGAGCAGAAGGGGGGAGGGAAGAAGAGTCACCTTTTCCCACGCTTTCCTCGTGCACATTAACAAACAGTCATTTTGAAAGGGTTCATCAGCAGAAGATTTTATACTTTGACACACCAAAATGTATTCACCATTTCTACTGCTGCATCCATTAATGGTTCACATGCTCATACTACGCAAGGGTAGCATGTTCACAGACATACCAGAAAGTGATTTTTCAACATCAGCCTCTTCTCAGATCCACTGTTGAAACACTTCCTTCCTGTAAATTTATTTTAATACTGCTGACCAACAAAACTAATGCAGTTTTTTGTTCCTGAAAGCTCAAATATTAATCCTGTAGATAAGAGAAAATTGCACTCGAATCACAGATGAGCAGATATCAAACTCTCTTAACGAGCGACAGATCCCTTTCTCCTTCCAATTACCTTTTAAGAAACATCTTCCTGAATATACCTATATCAGAATCAAGCATCTTCAATACCACCAATGGGCAACCTCTAAATTACTGCTGTCCTGTAAGAAGTACTGTTCATTGATTGCTGTGAATGTAAAGACCAGTAGTTCTTCTGCAAAGTTAGAAGTTCACAGTATAAGGACTATAGACACAAATATTAAATGTTACCTAATTTTCCTTGTTTATTAGGAAACTGCAATGGCTTAAATTTGAGTGGTTTCCAGAAATGTTTCTACTGCTTTGCAGTACAGCCAAAAGCACTGAAATCTTTCCCATCCCTCTCTGAACATTCCAGTAACTCAGTGTTTATGATCTTGTCTGAATCAAAGCTATGAAGCAGATGTTATGACTTCTCCAAAATTATGAACCATGCAGAGGTACCAGTACATATTAATTCCGTTTTTGGTATATGCTATAAATATCACATGAAAATCAAAACAAAATATTTCATATATATTCCTACAGCTTGCAATCTGTAAATTTATTCGAAGACTTTCAAGACTGCTGCTGCATCTAGAGCTATTGTTCCATAATGGTCTGACTGTGGGACAATGTTACTGGTTCCACAGCTTACCAGGCCTTCCTTCTTCCTTCTAGAAAGCACTGGCTATCTTTAAAGCACTTTCTTTACCCTTGATGAATTTCTTAGCTACATAAAGTATTCATATGTTTATATTACCGTAACAGGTGTGTAGTCTATGAATTTACCCTTGGAATGCTCCCATGTTATACTGAATTACTATTACTTCCCTAGTTTTCAGATGAAAAACCAAACATATAAAGGTCAAGAAGCTGCCTTAAGGTTATGTAAGACTTTTGGAACAGAGAACCAAACTTAAAATTTACTCTTATAAAGCTAGTGTCATATCTACATGATCTCTTACAGTTGCCACCTTCTTATTTGCTTATGAACAGGAGAGTGTACAGTACCATAACCATAACCTACCAAAACCATTTTTAAAATATCCTTTCCTGGAAAAGGCTACACACAGGCTATTTTCCACCAAATTAATAAAGCCAGTGTTCAAGAAAGCTACAACAAGCTTAAAGAAAGATTTAACTAGAGCCCTCTGGATTTGCCAACATTCACAATCACATACATGATACACATTTTCTAGAAATTTTTTTGTGACTCTACTTAAAAGTTCAGAGACAACACTAAAAATGCAGACCAGGTATTTTAGAAGAAAACCAAATTTGATGGATCTGTGTATATACAAAGAATGCTCATAAAGATCATCTGTTTTACTAGACATGAGGAAACTTGCCTATTGGCAAGTCTTTTCAACCAGATGGATTGAAGACTAGTAGTTCTACTCTGTGTCCACCATAAGGACGTATACTGTGGAAGAAGTTACACAAGGCTGCAACTTACACCTGCACAATTTGCCAAGAGGTGACCCACAGCTGACACTTCACCTGATCTGTTTCAGCAAAGCCACATCCTCACGTACTCTTCTTCAAAACCAAACTGAAAAGGAAGACAAACTGCAGCATTTTTGCCGAAGGGAAAAAAGCTATAACCATGTTTACATGTTCTACAAACCAGCCAACTGTGTATTCTGAATTCAGTGCTTCACTGGAGGGCACCTAAAGGGACCATCTCCAGTCACAGTTCAAGCAGGAGTCCGACACCGGCCTTTCGCAATACAAGTAGTAGGACAGAAATAGCAATTTAAGGAATTTTGAACCTCTTTTGTCCCCTGGGGCTCATTTTCAGTCCCACAGCATGACATCCCACCATTTTAGTTGTTGCAGGCACAGCTGTTTCCAGGGCTGTGATGTGAACCAAAACAAAAAAAATAACTCAGCTTTGAAGGAAAACAGGACTGGGGGCAGAACCTGACCACAGAGGTGGCTATAACAACTGTGGGATAAGGTTAAAGAAGGGAAGCAGTAGAGACAGGGCACAATTACTCCAAAATGGTGTTATCAAGAACCTCGTATCTGAAGCTATGGCTACCAACAGCTGGAGAAACAGGAACTCACATGAGCTTCAGCAAGGACTCATCAAAACAAAAGCCATTTAATTTTTGAAGTTCAAACAGAGAAACTACCTTCCCCTAAAGGAAAAGGGTGAAGAAGTATTAAGCAAATATTCAAAATATTGGGTCTTCCACAAAGAAAGGAACTCTTTATGTATGTAAATAAGGAACAAATAGACCAAGATTACAAGACAGATGTACTGTATGACATCATTAGCAACAAGTCATTTTTCACTAGATGCCTGCAAATGCTCACAATTTGAAGTCAGAGCTCACAACCGAGTAGACAATGAAGATCTGCCTATTAGTTGTGGGGTTTTTAGTAACATGACTTAGCTCTCTACATTCCAGCATGCCATAAAGTCAGAAGCAATTGCAGTGTGATTATCAATGACTTGAACAGGGAAAATGATGACACAGACTCATCAGTTCAGGTGCACAGTCCGAAACCCGCAGCAGTGGCTGTGTCCACCCCAGCTGCCTGGAGGCACACTCACTGAGGCTAAGGACAAAATCAAAGGGAACTAAAAGCCCCACAGCCCAGAGGATGGCAAGAGGGTGAGCATGAGTTAAAATATGTGATGTTTCAGAAAAATGCGTAAGGAACAGAGAGGAAAAAGTGGTCATCAGCACAATCTACTCCCCTCTCAACTCAAAGATGGGAAAAGCTCCAGGCTTAATATGGACCATGACAAGGAAAAATCGCTACAGCAATATACACTCGTGTCTCATTTAAAATGCAGCTTTAAGCACTCAGTCCTGTTTGTCAAAACAAGACACAGTGTGCTGGTTGAAGAAACTGTTTTAAGCTGCTTTATCAATTTTGACAACTGCAGAGATATACAGCAGCAGAAATACGTTCCAATTTCACCGCAGCAGATGCAGCTGTTTCATTAATGTGGTTAAGACCAGCTATGGATGTATTTCCTTCACAGGCAGGAACCTATATTGTGCCTGTCCAAAGTAGTACAGCAACAATAAAAGTTTACCTTCAAATCCCAAATGAATTCTGTATGTGCAAAGGTAAAAAGGAGTAATTCAGTTCCTTTTAGCTTCGTCCTCTTTACAGAAATCTTTCACTAGAACAAATTTAATTCCTTGAAGCATCTCAGATGTTTCTGTGGTCAGTTGCATTCCTGCTATCTGCTTTTCCTATTAACATTTGCATTATCCAGACCACATTTTCCAGCCCCTGGAGAAATGCAACATTACTAAGCCATGCCAAACATTTTGGCAGGACCTTTTCAAGAGATAAAGGGGCAGGGGGGAAAAGATCAAGGCCGCTCTTACCCTCTTTGCCTGTCTGCCAGGAGATGTTGTCACTTTCAGTGGGTCAGAGCTGACTCATGTCTGGAACAAGTGAACCACAAAGTGGAAA